AAGTAACTGTTTATTGAGTGCTTACGATAGACCAGGTACTTCGCATATGTTATTACTAATCTTCACAATTTTTTGAGTTAAAGACTGTCTCCAATTTGCATATGAACAACGTGAAACTTAATTTGATTAAGTTATTTGTTCAAAACGTAAATCTAGCTGAGGAGGAGCTGGAATTCCAACCTGGATATTCAGACTGCAAGGCTCATGCACTAAACCGTAACACTATACTGACACCTTTTATACAGTTAAAATTAGGCTTCGTATATTTGGCTAAGCTATATGAAATTGACATTTCTGCAAGTGAAAAACAGTCAAATGTTGGCAATTTCCTACTGTGAAACTTAATACAAATGCCATTAGGAGCTGTAACCTAGTGATTTGTAGTGAAAGTAAATGACTTATTTAGAGTCTTTGAAAAGGAGGGCAATTTGATAGGAGTGCAAGGAAGGAGACGATCATAAAAGAGAAAAAAACTGCTTTAAAGAAGAAGAAGAAATGCAAAAATAGGATCCCGGGAACCTCAAAGACAAAGTTCTTTCACTTCATAATTTTCCAGAGGCCAGCTATGCCATGGGAGTAATTGAGTCCATAAACTTGCTCCTGAAAACAATCTGCAACCTTGCTTACCACTGAGCATTTCATAGCTAGCAATACGAATGTTTCAGGCTCAGGTACAAGTAAAACAATAAATTGTTTGGAATAATTCTTCCACTGCCTTCTTTTAAATCACGTAATCTTTGTTTCTCTTACTTGGAGGTAAGAACGTGCTGGTTCTCCGACTGTTTCCAGTTATGTGAGCTGCTACTCTCGGAAGACTTCTTTCTCTTCCTAGGTAAGGACTATCTTGTTGCTTTTCTGAAAGAGAAATGACCAAGAATTACCAGGACTTGTCAAACTACTTCTCAAAGACATTGCTGTTCACAGCCATCGTGTGCATAACGGGCTTCCAAAATCGATGCCATGGGTTTTCATAAAATAGCCTACATTTTAGTATGATGACCAGTCTACTTCAGTTTATGTTTAATTTTAAAAGATGACAAGAATAAGTAGTCATTCGTATTACAATATATCAGCATTTCAGAGGTAAGGTCCAAATAGCATAAAATAAAGTGAAGATTCTGGCTCTTTTCCAAAAAAGTAACTGTGGACTTGTAATAGTCCTGCTGAGTGATTTCAAGTGCTCAACCAACCAGTTATTGACAAAATTCTCCTTTGAGTTGCATATAGACAAACTTAGAGTGGTACCAACTTTTTGTCATCTCAATTATTTTTTCCTCTTTGCTAGCTCTACTGATTCTAAAGGAACAGAAATGACAACCATCCACAGATGCTACAAACTGGTATCCAACAGTCGTTTTCCCTCCAAAGGAATAAGAATTGACATCCTGGTCATGATACTCAGTATATGGGCATATAACTTATTGATTCACTCTATCAAAATAAATAACTAACATTTATTGACCACCACCCAAAGTATTTCAGAGGAGCCTAAAAGAATACAAATTCAACAAACTACTCTCTTTTTTTTTTTTTTTTTTTTAAATTCAGCTCAAATTTCCCAAGTGTGCTTGTATTGGTTGTATGATATTTTCTTTCATGGAGTAAACATTGCTATGCAGGGGCTACAACAATTAATTAGATATCGATTATGCTGACT